AAAAAAAAAAATGGAAGAAGAAGAGAGAAATCTTAATTAAATCTCTAAAGAAAAATCCTGACTCTGCCCTTGAAACTAAACCACGATTTGGGACTTTTAACATGTCTATTGGTAGAGGTTAATTTTTCTTTTTTTTTTTTTTGGTCGAATTCTAAATTTAAATTAATAAATTATGTTTAAGTCTTGCCCCCACTTACTTTTTATAATTGTATATTAAGAAAAATAAAAGTTCTGTTCATTAAAGGAAAAGCAGAATGAAAGAAATAAAAAATAAATAAATAAGGTAACAAAGTTCTGTTCATTATAATCAATTAAAAACAGAAAACATCTTTTACCAACAAAGAAAAAATATAAAATAACATAATTCTGACAAGCATTTAAAAAATAAAAAAATTCTTACCATGGCAAAGCAGGATCTTGCAAGTAGTCGTCAAAATGATAATCACTCAAGCAGCTTTCATTTGCATTCAACCAAGCTGGAAATTCCATTACTTCACCAAATGGAGAAAATAATCCATAATCTTCAGTTTTTTCTTCAGGAGAAATTTCCATAGCCTTCAAGAATTTGAACCACCAAGCAGAATTGACCAAATTCATGGTGTCATTCCACTCCATTTGGTGCTGCTCTCCAATTGATCTGATCTCAGCCATCTCCTTATCATCCATTGCTGGATGCAAATCCAAGTCCATTTCCGATAAGCCAGATTCCGCCACCACGGCCGCCATGCATGGAGTTTCCGCGGTGGCCACGGCAGCTGAGAATGGAGGAGAAGAAGATGATGATGCAGAAGATGGTGAGAAAAGGGATAGAGGGGTGGTGGGATTGTAATAGGGGGTGGTGTCCAAGTTGTTGAAATCTTGAAAATTGAGGTTCAGTCCCAAGGTTTGATTAGGCAGTGGAAAATTGAGATTTCCTTGGAAAATGGGTTGTAGGGTTGGTGGAGGAATTGGAGAAACAGGCCAAGAATAATCTGGCGCTGAAGAACAGTAGGAGAAATTTGAAGTAGAATTAGAGGGATAAATTCTTGGGTTTCTCCTGGATTTCAATTTAGCCTCATTTTCTAAACAGATTTCTTGAGAAGAAGACTCCATTAATGGCTGATTTTCCATTTCTTGGGCTTTTTTCATAGCTGCTCTATGAAACTTAAGGGCAGTGACAATTTCTCTTCTTGCTTCAGCCATATTTAGAAGTCTCTCTTGGTAAGGCCTGCTGGTGTGGAGTCTTCTTCTCACTTGTTTTTTAGGCTTTTCACTGAATCCTTCACCATTTTTGGCTGAATTTTGGTTGCTAGAAGAACTGAATTCTGCATCTGAATTCTTATTTTCTTTGGTTCTTGAAGAGGTTAATTGTTTAACAAGGGTACGAATGTAAGAACCAGAGAGATGGGTTTCTTGATTTTCTTTCATATTTTCAAGATTTTCTAAATTCAGTCCACCATTCTTAGTACTGATTTGCTTCGAAGAAGATTTTCCTCTCATATTTTTGGTATTATATTTTGAGTATGGTTTTCAGTTTTCTGGGTGGTAAAGTACAGAATGCAGAGCACAGGTCCGGAGAGAGCTCGTGGGTGTTATAAATAGCGGTGGCACTACATGTATATAATGGTTTATACATGATATAAAGAGATGCGATTTGGTCAGAATTTCTTCAACCCAAAAAAAATAAATAAAAAGCTTCTCCACTCTTTTTTTGACACCTCATCAGTACGTAAACTATTACGTGATTCCATTATATATACAAGTAGCATTATTCTATAAATAGATGGCGACACAATTTAGGGCTTTTAAATTCTTTTGGAATTTTCTTAGCTCTCTTAATTACTTCTCCTTTTACTGCAAAAACTAATAAATTGTTATTAATGAGTTAGCCCGCAAAAATTTTAAAAGGAGTCAATTAAAATATTTCATCCTAATTATCCATCTAAAATAACTAAAACCCTGAAAATTTTAATTACATTATCATGTGAAAGTTATAAAAATATGCCTCACCTTAAATTTTTAGGCATCATTCTAAGTTAATAATCAAAATTTACCTTCCTGATGTGCAATTCATCTTACATGTAAGGCTAGGGATCATTTGCCCGAATATACTTGGCTTGTTTGATCCCCATTCTTTGGAAAAATGAATTTTTCTACAGTGATTTGACATCATTTCAACTATATATTTTTCAATAAAATAATATTACACACAAATACAAAATTTTTCCTTATTTTTTAACCACACATTTCCCGTCAATACACTATTCAAAAATTCATTTTTTCCCTCAAAATGGGGCTTAAATAAGGGCACTATTTATTTGAGCAATGACTAGTGCAATTTTTCTATTTTATTGGTCCCTTGAGTTCGATTTATGAATATATGATGGATGACTATGAACGAAAAAGAAAAATGAGATGAAGAACACACCATATACAGGTTCAATTTTTTTGTCTACTATACGATTAGTCAAATTCACCAAATAAAGAGTCAAAACATTTTAGATATAGATAAAGAACATTTTATGAAGTTTGAAAGATGATGGTTTCCTATAAATCAACCCTTATCTTCTCCTACAGCTTACATGATCAAAACAAACCGACTTAAAAATAAATCCTATGACTTTCTAAACGGGGCAACTTGTGTCATGAAAATGTTGACTTTCTAAACGGGGCAACTTGTGTCATGAAAATGTCACCTAGTGGTTGCACCCTCATCCCCTCCCCTACAAGTTTATCAAATAATTAATAACGACAAATCATAATTCAACATTATGTTAACATGCGAATGAGGATAAAATTGCCCACATAAATGTATTCCTGAGGAAAATAGAATTCACTGTAGAAATTTATGACGACATGACTAATTGAGTCATTAAACGAAATACAAGCTACACTTCAACTTTTGATGTTTGGACATGTCGTTCTAATAGAATTGTACATTAACACATTGTAAATTGTATATGATGTGGTTAAGAATTGCACCTTGTGAATCTAAACTTGTAGGATTAGACAACGCGACTTTGATGATAACTCACAAACACCTGCAACAAAGTTGTCAAGAGAAAATAAGGAAATATGTATAAATATAACTGAGATTAAATAAGAACTTGGGAAACGATATGGAATTCAAGATCAGTTTTTGAATGCTTATAATTCCCTAAAGAATATTTTGTTTTTACAAAAATTCATTGATTCATCTCATGAATAGAAAGAAACGAGTATCAATTTGAATTTGCATATTCCCATACAATTTAGATAAACAATTTCAGAAGACTCAATTTTTTCAATAAGCCCCACTTTCTATATACTCTAGGGGTCTTACTTTCCCTAAATCTCGAAAGATTGAACTATGATTTTTGCCCATAAACTCATTTTTATTTTTAAAAAAATTAGGACCATTTGCATAAATTCGAATTGATAAAAGACTATTTTGTAATATATTTTGGACAGAAAAATTATCCCCAAGGGGACGTAGGTCCAATTTTTGTAGGCTGTATATGAGAATCTTCATTACTGTTGTAACCTCCTCTCATCAAGAAAAAATATTATATTTTTTCAGTATTAAATTATAATATATTCAGGTACCATCCAATATTTTATATATAAATTCAATATGATTAAGTTGATGAAACTAAGAACTTGGACCTTTTATTACGCAGCCTGATAAAGACGAAAAGGGTCCATACCCTCTCATTTTTTTCAGTTTTTATTTCCTCTCATGCTCCTTTATGACCAAACAGTTTTCACTATTTTTTATTATTTATTTTTTTTTCTGGATTTTTTTTGGAAGGGTTCAGCGACAGCACTGAAAATTGTTTCTGGCAGGATCTGTCAAATTAGTTAATCAGTTTAATCAACTTTTTTAATCTACAAGTAAAACAAAGTAAATACTATTTTTTTCTAAAAGATCGGATTAATGGAATTGTATTCTGACACTTCATGTCCTGTGGTAAACACACTAGATACTGCAGTCTTCAAATAAATTCTCGTACTCATTTTAAATTACACATTCTCGCAATAAAATATTCTTCACATAAACCCAAATTCTTTTTCTACTTTTTAACAACACATTTTCCAAAAATTTACTATTAAAAAACTCATTCTACACCCAAAAATATCATCAAACACAGGCTAAATGTCATGAGTTCAAGTCTTGTTGTCACTCATATATAAAAAAAACAAAAAAAAAAAACAAATTTGACTACATAAACTGTATTAGACAATATTAAGAATAGGAGGGGGTTGGATGCAAAAGTAAAAAATGGAGTTTTGATTTACCTGGATTCAGGATGTGGTTTACCAATAAATATTGTTCTAATCATAGATCTAAAGCGTTGAGATCCACGGTACGGAAGTTAGCAAGGACAAGGATCCATTGATCGTGAAGGAATGATCAATGAATAGGTCACGAGCAAAGGAGGTCAAAGAAGTCATGAGATTACTTATTCAAGTTATGGTGAATGAAACATTGATCACAACAAGCAAAGAAACAAGTTTTATGTTGGGCATGAAAGAAGAAGCACGATAGATCAACTTGGTTCAAGTAGCGGAGAAAGGAGCTGCGGACTAATCCTGTCCGACAGCATAGATATATACCGAGAGCACATTAGAGGTCAAAGGCTGCCCAATGCGGCCACATCCTCTACAATTATGCAACCGCATAGTACAAATATGGTGCGCAAATTTTTCAAATTTAACGTAATATATTATTTTAGTTAAAACTCTATTTTATGGTATCTTTTAACATAAATCCCGTTTTAACTAGGGTTTTTATGAGTAATTACCTATAAATATGACTCATTATTTTCATTGTAAAATACACAATTGATAGATATTATTGTGAGACATATTTTGTTTTCAACTCATTCAACGTTGAATTAATTTTCGAACTTATCAAGTATTATTTTCTTGTGATGTTCAACAATATAAGTAAGGTTTGTAAATCTTCTAATCACGAGGTCCAGATATTATTTGCAATTGTCTTGGTTCTTTGGTTCCAAACATTAATTATTGGCTTTCTTGGATTTGATCTAATCTGTCGTGAGTTTCGTATTTTTAATTGTTACGTGAGTTCTCATCATTTAGTACCAGATTTTAGGGTCCAAAAATCAAAGTTATATAATTTACCTTTTGTTTGAATTTTCATCCTCGTTCTTCGTGTTCTTCATTTTTTGTGTCATTCGATCACACTAAAGTTCCAAAAAAGTTCAAAAGTTGTTTGTGCGCTAAATTGGTGACCAAATCAATTTCTTTTCGAATTTTCGGGCTCCTTGTGTAAATTCTTGCGCATTTAGTAAAAAAAAAATCGAAAATTGCAAAACAAAAAAAAAAATTGTAAAGTCCAATGTCAAAAGTATCCAATTCAAATTCAAGAAACACCTTAAATTTATCCTTATTGTTCCATTCGAGTGTCAATTCCTATTTCTTGATTACGCTAGAGTCAAATATTTCTTACTTAATTATTTATTTGAACTCCACAAGGATTGAAATTTGATTAAAATTGAATTAGTTCTTTGCAGCGCTTGCAAGTAAGCATCGAATAGAAAAAGGCAAAGTGATGAGACTAATAAAGGGAAAAAGTCAGGTTGAGTGATACACGAGTGTACACACGTGAGGCAAATGTTATTCTAGATCTAGGATGGCTGATAGAGACGATTCTACTTCAAGCGGGAAGAATAATCAAGTCATCATGATGGAAGAGATGATACAA